CAGTTTACTATGGGTTATTGCATTTTTTTTCTTGTACCAATATCATATCTTGGTGTTTCAAGAAGCAGACTACAATTTCCCGTTTAGTACTGAGGTAGTTTCTGACACATCTTGGTTATAAAAGATGAGCTGGGAGCTTCATTAGCTTCGTCTAAACCTCCTATGTGATAAAATCAACGCAACTTGTATGATTTCTAATCTGATTAATTATGATCGTCCTAAGCATATATGAATATAGATATTCATTTTGTTTGAGCAAGAGTACAAGCAGGACAGTTAATAGTACGATATATTGACAATCAAAATTAGTTAGCTAATATTTTCACTTAAGGTCTTGTCTTGGCAAGGTTCAGTTATTTGAGATCCAATCTTTGTGTGTTACTCCGCGCAACTTTGGGGGAAGGGAGAAGGGAGTAGATGGATAAATTTTCATCTCTATTACAATTTGTGTATCACTAACATTATGTTTTTTTTTTTACTATTAGGATTATACAACCTAAGTTTTGTTAGAGTAGAAACGTACATGAGTGATACATTATTTTTCTTTTTACTATTAGGATTATACAACCTAAGTTTTGTAAGAGTAGAAATGTGCATGTTTGTGTAGACTAGAACTCTACTTTTTAATAATACAAATAGCATCTACGTTTCATGGATTTCAACTTTTCCCATACTTGTTCAAGTACAATGTGAACAAGTATGAAAAAAAAATACTGATGGTGATTTTATTCATGAAATGTACGTGCTATTTATAAATTATGACACAGATAAGAATATGTTTACCCCTTTACAATAATGGATAATGTATATACATAATTATGGCCCTTTATTTTGAAAGTAGTCCTTCAAAATTTACGAACTTAACATGCTTAATAAAGCAGCAGCTAGAGGCTGCAGAGGTTTTACTTATCTCAATGAAAAAGGAATAACAAATATCTCAATACCAAGTATCTTTTATTGCCTGCTTTAAATGGAGTTGAAACAATTTTTTCGGAAAATCAACTTTAAACTGGTAGGAAATGATAATGTTTAATATATATATATATATATATATATATAAGTTGACTCCTCAGGTAAAAGCCTGTTAGGCCAAATCGGGCAAGTCCTTCCTACATCTTGTGCCTAAGTCTTTCCTTTTCTTTTTTTTGTTGTTGTCCCATGCAACATCTTGTGCCTAAATTAATAGTTAGAAATGAAGCTGCTGTCCTTTACGTTGTACCGAAATTAATTAACAGGGATGAAGATCTAATATCAAATATGTTAAGAGTCGCTTATTACAGAGGTTAAAAACTTAAGTTGATAAAAAATAGTCCGGTTAATCATAGTTGTATGTTAATAGCTTGTTTTGCCCTTTACCAACTTATGGTTTTATAATTTGCATTGTTGAATGTGACTGAAACTGGTTTGATTTTGCAATCAGGAATCTCTTGGCTATGTCGACATCAATCTTTCAGATGTCGTTAGCAACAAGCGTACCAATGAGAAGTATCATCTTATAGACTCGAAGAATGGGAAGATCCAAATTGAACTGCAGTGGAGAACTTCGTCATGATCTTTATTTTTTCCATCCGATTCTGCATCGCTCCAGGGTAGTGCAGGGAAATGAAGAATGTTTCATAGGTTTTCCATCTGGCATTAAAAACGAAAATTTGTGGTTTCTGTACATGATTGTATCAATAATTCTGTATGCAAAAATGGAATTTGATTGTAATTCTGAAGTTTCTACATTGCTCACTCTTGTCAGGTCTTGGCTTGTTTTCATTAAGGTGAATACATTGTGCATACTGTGTCCCACGGAGATTTTATCATATCATGTGTTGTTTCATTTGCCTTTTTGTTTTATTTTATTACTGTTTTTTTTTTAATTTGAGGGACTCATTGCGTGAAGGATGGGGATGGTTTGAAAGGTTTTCTTTTAGGAATTTGAGGCACTCAGAATTGTACGTATAAAGAAAATAAAAGATGTAACATCTTCTCTTTGTAAATTAAATTTTAACAAATAACCCACGTTAGTCTACTTAAATTTTTTTAGTTATTTTAATGTAGTAAAAATAATAATATTTTTTTTAAAAAATATAAAGTGTGAAAAGTGTATTAATATGTGAGAACAAGAGAATGTTTATTTATAAATTTAATAGAATATAAATTTTTCATACAATTTAGAGGATGATTCGATAACAAACATATAATGGTATGGAATCATCTCCTTTTTATCAAGTCAAAATAATTATAAATATAAATTAATAAAAATACATAAATAAATTGATTAAATACCCACTGACGTTAAAATTTATTAATAAAGTATTTTATAAAATTAAATTTTGAACAGAAAGCCTTTTTTATATATCTTTGTAAATTTGGCTTCCTGTTAGTTTTCAACTCTTCATGACCTCAGTCTATCCTATATCAGTTGACCACAAAACGGAGCCCCATATTAAACGTTGACTTATCTCCATCTCGCTAAGGAAAGGAAATTATGCCACGTAGGCAATCCCACGATTGTAAAATGAGACAAAGCGTGGTGGATCATGTCTCTACCCCATCTCTACTCTCTGGCTATTGGTCCATCTCATTTGGCTCAAAATCCAAAGACAAACTCAACCATTTTTCCTCACCATTGAGTATTAGCTAACCGTTCTTCTCTCTCTCTCTCTCACTCTCTCTCTCTTTCTCTCTCAAGCTAATCAGAGATGGCAGCTCCCATCGTCGACGCGGACTACCTCAAGGAGATCGACAAGGCTCGCCGCGACCTCCGTGCTCTAATCGCCTGCAAGGACTGCGCTCCCATCATGCTCCGCTTGGCGTACGTTTTTCTCACTCACTCTTCCTTTTTTTGTTTGTTTCTTTGGTTCCGAGGAGAGTTATGACAGGAGAAGAAGAACAAGGACATTGAAGCTTATACTGCAAGCTTATGACAGAAGACGGCTCTGTGTTTTGTTATGAAGGTGGCACGATGCAGGGACTTATGATGCGAGCACAAAGACTGGTGGACCTAATGGCTCCATAAGGAACGAAGAAGAGTACTCCCACGGAGCCAACAGCGGCTTGAAAATCGCTCTTGATTTTTGTGGTGTGCTTACTTGTTTCTTGCTTTCTTTTCATTTTCGTCCCTTTTGTCACATCGAAATGTTTGTCATTTCACTTTCTTATACTTTAATTTACAGATAGGTGATGCTCAGATATAGGCCATTTTTCGGTTTCTTTTGTGATAAAAAAATTGACTAAATAATATTTTGGCATTTCGAGGTTGCAGTTTGCTTCCGAGCGGATACGATAAATAACTGCTTCTTAGCAATATTGATGCTTACTAAAAATTAGATTCTGTTCTCTCGGTGAATCGAATGGATAGCATCTATTAAAGATTGGTATCTCGTTATAAAATGTCTATTTTAGTCATCATTTGGGTTCCTAGTTCTTTATATTTTCTTCAGTTTTCATTATTGCAAGAAAATGATTGTATTTGTTACCTTGGTAAGTAAATGAGGGGTTGATATCCAAATAACGTTCACCTTGTCTTAGCTTGGTAGTGAAATCTCTCTGTTAACATGATTAAAAGTTCCATGGTCTAAGAACTAAGCAAGGTAAGAGAGGCTGGTAATGTTAGATGATTAGTTTGGTTATTTTGTATCTTGGACCATCATGCTTGTGGTGTTGAATGAATGTCCTATGGAATTTTGTATTAATTTGCAATGTCTATGATTAATTTGATTTGAATTTGTAATTAAATGGTGCTTTTTCTCAATATGCAGAGCAAGTGAAAGCTAAACATCCTAAGATTACATATGCTGACCTGTATCAGGTGATGACCAAATTGGCAACTCTTTGTTCTAATTATTAGCGAATTAATGGATTTCTTACAGAAACCAGGACGTCTATAATGAGCATGCGAATACCTTTTTCTTTTCCCTGGTACAATTTGGATTTCTTCGATGGAAAATATAAGTGAAAGCTGTTACAGAATCTGGAACCATGGTATAATGCCTTTGCAAATCATGCTTGGTAGAGAAACAATCTTTCTTATTAATTTTTCAATGCATTTAAACATTCAGGTGCAGGTACATATCCTAGATATGAGTCTAACATTAACTTACAGGAGTCTGATGCTGAAGTTGCCCTTTTGAACTCCAGTATAAGAAGGGTTTCCTATTGAATTATTGTCATGTCAGTCCATGGAATCATTTTATTCTTAGTTCCTTCAAAATTTTGGATGTTTTATGCCTTTGTTATTTTCGTGCTATGTGTTCTAAGTTCCGCAATTTGTTTCTGAACTATGGCCTTTTACAACTTATTCCAGGTGGTTAAACTGTAGAACCGAACTAAACTTGAGTTAATTGGAGTAATCTGGTAGGATCCAGAGACTAGAATTCAAACATTGGAAAGACTAATTATCTTTTGAGTAGAAAAATGCTTAGGTCTTATGTTTTTATAATGTTGAAGCTGCGAGTTTTACTATGATCTCGGGTAAGAAAAATGATGTTTTGAGGAATTATTGATGCTGTAACAACTATACAAAGAAGGGTACAATTTTGCACAGGGGTTATCTGTTCTGTATGCAAATGAGTGAGATTCCTGTTTATGCTAAAACTACTTCCAGACATTCAGTTAAATAATGACTGCAAAGAAACAAAGAAGGAATTTGATCATGTTAAATGAAACCATGTTTTGGATTTACCATTGATTTAGACTTTAAACCATATTGACATTCTAGACTTTTTAACAGAGCTGTTATTTGGTTTCTTCATGTCCACAACAGATCCTCGCTAATGACTTGAGTATTTATTTGGTGTAATTTTTATTTCAAAAAAATTTATTTTTGGTGTAATTTAATCAAAAGAATAATGCATCAGTATGGTGGTTAATCCACTTAAGACCTTTTTGACCGTGTGTATCTGAGGAATGACAGATGCTAACATAATAAATTTGCTACATTAGGAACTGAATACTGAGCTGATACATTATAAATGTGTTCCTATTTCAGCTTGCAGGTGTTGTTGCAGTTGAGGTCACTGGAGGCCCAACCATTGATTTTGTTCCTGGTAGACGAGTATGTTCCTGTGGCTATTTTGAAATATAATTTACTGAAGATTTGCTGCATTATATTAACTTCATGTCTCTTTTATCAGGATTCAATGGTTTCTACCAAGGAAGGACGATTGCCAGATGCGAAACAAGGTGATACTTACTTTTTGAATTGTCTGTAGCTTAAAATTATGAAGGTGTTTGTGGTAAAGGATTTTCAGTTTTCTCTTTGCTTGATATCATGTGTCACAACTAGTTCATAGCTCTTGAAAAGATACATATCCAGAAGATTTGGTGGTCCTGGATGATGCACATACATATTTGTGGTGTAGTGATTGTTCCAAGTAGAAAATGTGTGTGAGAATGCTTCTCCAGGTATGGTAATAAGCATGACGTTCAATTAGGTTAATGTCAACAGTTCCAGGTCATCACTTGGCTGCTTTCTGCAGTTTCAGTTTCTGCTGGATTTGTCCTAAACTCATGGACTAGATTAAAACATGACCATTTGGTTTCGTAGTTCCCTGATCATAAGCTGAATGCCTTTTTAAGAATGTTTTATCATTGAGGCGCTCAGTGGTGTAGCGGAGATTTGCATGCATATCTTTTGACATGCCTTTGTGAAGCCACGGGGCAGATTCTCTGGAATCTCTCTAGCAAACTGCCACTGTGCCTCTTACTACCCCTCCACTTATGCTGGATGTTAGGAGCATCTTCATTTGTAGGCATCACATCAGCCAGCAGGCTATATCTCTTAGAGGATCAGTTGTAGCAATTACCCGCAAGCCTATGGGATAGTTGATGCTTCCAAGTTCTCTGAATGGAACTTTTTGATCTGGGTTTGATCTTTGTAAAGACAAAATTCTGATCACAAAAAAAAAAATAATAATAAATAAAGAGTTATCTTCAAGAAAAATAAATAAATAAATAAAAGAAAGAGATAAGCAAACATGGAACCTATAATATCTCTTCTAAGAAGGAAACTATAGTATCTTTTTCTCAAGCACTCTTGTAATTTCTTAGTACAGCCATAAAAAGATTGCAAGACAACATGGAGTGCAAAAATAAAAAAATAGATAAAAGAAAGAGATAAGCAAACAAGGAACCTATAATATCTTTTTCTCATTCTTATAGTTTCTTAGTGCTGCCATAAAAAGGTTGCAAGACAACACGGAGTGCTCTTAAAAACCTGTAAAAGCTGAACTGAGGTTTGCTTTAATTTTCAAGTCTTCATTTGTTTGGTTTTGGTGATAAAAGAATGTCTGCTTTCCTCTCCTTTTCTCTATAAACTTGTTTGTGGGAGTCTCATGACTCGAGTGAATTGTTTGAAGGTGGGCATTGTCATGTATTTATGTTGTTGATGGTATCATGTTGGTCTTATACTTTCCATTTTTCTC